CTCGGTACCCCTCTATCTCTAGCAAGTTGTCTTTCTCGTCTATCATATATATCTGATCATTCATCTATCTTGCTCTTCCTTTTTCCCAGCATTCTGTTCTCTCTACCTTCATCAAGGCCCCACCTATCTTAACTAGAATCTACTGTGACAGTTTTCTAAAGAAGAAAACAACAAGTAGGCTGTGAGATAAACAGAAAACAGCACAGACAGAAAAAGGTAATCTGAACATCGCGTGAGCCATTGGTCTCAGTACTCGCCTTCCTCAGACTGTAAGTGAAGGTCTGCTCCGGAAAAGCTAATTCAGAAAAACAAAAGAAATGCGGGAGTGGTGGATGAGAACGTGAAAACACAAGGCAGGCTAAAGTACTGAGGTTTCTTATTTCGGTCTTTGTGTTTGGGTGAAGGAGAAAGAAAGACCCCGTGAGAATGACAATCATTCATTTCCAGGACTAAGCCAGACGAAAAGAAGAAATGCAGATGAACAGAGGAGAATAAAATGTATACCCTCCCCGAGGCTTTCTCATTTATTGCCTTAGATGACTGATTATTGGATCAGGAAGAAAGTTGAGCTTTCGTTTCCGTCACTTTCTCATTTTTGTTTCAAGTTGAATGAAAATCAAAAGTCATGAACGTATTCGTCTGTGGTGTTATCCAAGGTGGCATGCCGTGTGTCGAGGTCGACGGGACCATAATTAACTGTTGTTTTTGATCGAGGACTTTTGATTTCTTGCATCACACCTCCGTTACTTCTCAATGTTAAAATCTCTGTTACACTGTGTAAGTTTATCGAAGCAAAGACAGGGCATGTCCATAGTCCAAGTTACTTCTTTAAGCCTATCGAGCACTCAAAATCCAAAAAGTATCCGGGGTAGTTGGGTTTTTTTAAGCTCACGCTATACTAGCCAAGACAGCTAAAAAGGCTCAAAGGATCAGACAGCGGAAAGCCGAGAGTATTTATTCACACGTATAAAACAGACTACACCTACTGGCTGTCTGTATAATCCGCTCTTGGCTTCCGATAACCTTTTGCCTCACTCAAAGATTCCCAGGGAAATTTGCACTGGTGAATACCATTGGTACATACCATTAATTTTTAGTTTACAGAAACGATATGTGAGAATGCAGATGAACTGGAAAATGAAAAAGACCGTTCAGTCATGCGTTTAAACATGTTACGTAATTGTCCTACTGGTGAACGCTATTACAGACCTATGCATCTTCTCAAAACACGAACAGCGAATGTATGTACGACTGTTCTTTGTGTTATAAAGTAAGCTCCTCAGACAAATCGTATGTTTCTCTACACATCTGCGTCACCTACGATAAGTTTTACATTTTGTTTGGTTCTTCACCTATTATTTTCGTGTGAAGACGGAAACTGAGGCTATCGTGACAAGGAAACTTACATCGTAGTAATCACATAATTAGATTTTAGAATCATATTATCATGTTGAAGAACTTGGATAAGAACTGCAGTGTGTCATTAAACAGCACACGCGGACCTCGTGGCATTTTAGTTCCTAACGTTGATTTTAAAATCGATGCAGCTGCTAGGAGAAGGTATTTCGTGTATTTTATATCATTTAGCGCCTGGATTCATGGGCAGCACAATATAAAAAGCTATTAAAAACACGATGATCTTAAAATGAATACCAAATAGAAATATCAGGACATATTAAAGTACAGCATGTGGGCGAGTACAGACCGGATATACAAACAGGAACTAGGAGAAACAAAACCACAACGGGATATTTTTGTATTGACCAGAGATATTCACCCTCGACACTCCACCACTTTAGTTTTAGTAAGTGTTTACGGCACTTGCAACACAATAAGGTCATATAAATGCCGAAGATTAGAGGTGTTACAAGAGAGTAACAAACGCAAAATAGAAAGACGGGAGATAAGGACAAAAGATGTTTGATAGGAAAGAAGGAGCAAACCACACCAGAGCACCCGCCAACCAACCACACACTCTTGGAGTGCATTCTAGTGTAACTTTTTAATATAAATCCGTTCTGACATTTTGAGCTAATGAATGTCTACATATATTTTGCTTTAAATAAATCCTCATACTCAACTAATATGGCTTTAGTATTGTTTTTCTATCGTTGCTATCATTGGTTCTATTCTTGAAAGATTATGTTTTTTCTTTGTAAATTCATCCAGGTGATTATATTTTAACTGTTATCTTTAATGAAGTTTGGTTTTTCCTGATGGAGACAGCAAAATTTGGAATCTTACGCCTATTTAAGCCGATATTGAACCTTAACAAAAAGAACACGATCTTGGTTTATCATGGTTTTCCACAGAAACAATCTCATTGGCCCTGGTGACCTACCGTAATAAGAATAGAGTTTTAGATCCTCTCATTGTATCTAACCAAATCTGTCTTTTCTTACCTTACCTTAGTACATCTCTCCACTCAGTGTGTTTTACCTAACTCAGCTCTTGTCAACCTTTTGTATATCCACCGCCCACTTCTTCCACCTTTAAAGAGGCTAGGCCTAACATTTTCGTACCTCTCATCCTCTTGCATTTCCAAGCGAGGCATTACATAATACCTCCCACTACCAAGGAGATCTCCACCGCTAACCAAAAATTGACCAATCTCCTAAATACTGTAGGGAACAATATCTCCCATGTCGGCAAGCAATGATCAAACCTTAAGTATTTTCCCTATGATTTCCTTCTTGACTAGGTGGTGAGAAACCCCAGTATGCTGACGCCGCGGAACATCTTCATCATCAACCTGGCCATCTCCGATCTGACTCTGTGCCTGTTCACCCAGCCCTTGAACTTGTACCTGCTGCTGTTCAAACAGTGGACGTTGGGACAGTTCATGTGTAAGTTTGTCACCATGGCCCAAGGGACAAACCTCTTCGTGTCTACCATCAGCATTACGGCTATTGCCCTGGACAGATTTCAGGTAAGGGTTGTTGTCGTTCTCAGGCTCAGTGCTTTAGTATTAGTGAGTGTTTTACGGCACTTGCAACTCAATTAGGTCATATACGTGCCGAAGATTAGAGGTGATACAAGAGAGTAACACACAAAAAGGAAGGGAGGTCAGTACGAAAGATGTTTAATGGGAAAGAAGAGCAAACCAAAACGTAGCACCAGCTAACCTCTCCTTAGGCTCAGTGATAGAAGGTGTAGGAGACCAAGTTTAAGAAATATTACAACAATATACTTGGACAACCTTAACAATCTTATCAGTTCTTTGACCTCTCTCTCTCTCTCTCTCTCTCTCTCTCTCTCTCTCTCTCTCTCTCTCTCTCTCTCTCTCTCTCTCTCTCTCTCTCTCTCTCTCTCTCTCTCTCTCTCTCTCTCTCGCTTCAGAGATTTTTTGGTCTAAACATGTATATATTTTGTCTATGTCTTGCTTTTCTACCCCCCCTCCCCCCAAACCCAGCCCCCAAAAGCATGCAACACGCCCTCCCACTTTCCGCATCCCTTATCCCTTACCTTTACATATAGGTTGACAGACAGAGAGGCAGGTAGGTAGGTAAACTGACAGATAGATTTAACCCATCCTTTCTGGGAACTTAAAAAGTTCCTCTCTTGCAATGCTAAGTTTTCAGCATCTAGGGGTTAAAGCAAACAGAATTTCCACCCACTCTGCTAAATGTCCATTATTACAAAAATATTGAGAGAATATTATAAAATTTTATATTTAAGAAAACCAAGCTCATTATCAACACATTCCCCATTTTCATAAATCGTCAAACCAATTTCACATGGTTTTTGTCCTGCAAAATTGCAGTTTAACTTGTTGTCCCCCAACACAAATAGTTTTACAGCTCCTTTTCCGTCTCGCCCGCTTCCTCTTCCATCACCATATTATCTTCATCACCTCCACAACAAAAGCTTCTGTCTTCTCTATGTCATCCTTTTCCTCTTCCTCTTCCTGCTATTTCTGTGCATAAAGCAGCATCAGCAAATACATGCACAGGGATTTATTGTGCCAATATTATGTGGGGAAGAAAACAGAAGTGCTAAGCATTATCCTGCTCACAAACACAATGTCAGCTACGAGCAATCCCCAGAGTCTCTTCGATAAGGCAGAACAACCAAATCAAACGTATAATATATTGGATACATGTCTTGTGCAGAAAATCCCCAACATTATTTGTGCTCTTATCTTTGTCCTGATTGCTCACCGACATCTGGCTGCTCCTAAAATTATTGCCCAGGGATGGGATCGAACTATGTTTGCCCCGTCCAGACATATTTTCTTCGACAATTCTGGATACTTTAGAACTTAAATACGACGCTCGCGTGTTTCTTAATCCTCAGACTACTGATGCTCCAGTTGTTTGGAGGAGTTTGTGGCGTGTTCGCACGATACATCTTAAGTGTAGTCGTCATCGCTTCGTCGAAGTAGGCGTGTGGCTTGTATTTTAGTTGAACGAGTTTCCCTGAAAATCAAAAATCCTCTTGTGTGCATGTTTGTGGACGTATTTGTGAACCTGACCCCCTTCCCAAATATCGTTAACCCTTTTCGACTATCTATTTGGCTATTTTCTGTCTTTCTTTATATCCCACTAAATATCTCATGCTGTGCCATATTGTTTCTGCCAGGTGATTGTTTACCCTACCAAGGACAGTATGAAGAAATTGGGCGCTGCTATCGCCCTGATCAGCATTTGGCTCATTTCCTTCCTCATGGCAAGCCCCGCCCTTCTCTTCTCAATGGTGGACACATTGCAGCCCTTGGAGGAAGTGCCTGGGGTCTACGTGTACCGCTGTCTAGAGGACATGTCTTTGGACATTGAGAAACGTGCGTATTCTGTGGCTCAGATGGTGGTCCAGTACGTTCTCCCTTTCATCATTCTCAGCGTGGCGCATCTGCGCATCTGTAACAAATTGCGTTACCGAATGGTCACTACACAAAACGTGCCGAATTCTGCTGCAACCACATCGTATCAGCGCAAGAAAAACGAACGGAGGAGCCGACGGAAGCGGAAGACAAACCTCCTTTTGGCGGGAATCGCCATCGTGTTCGCACTGAGCTGGTTGCCGCTTAATATCTTCAACTTGCTAGTCGATTTTAAGGGTGAGTACTTCAAAGGTCACGTGGACACAAAGTTCGTCTCAGCGATCTGCCACATGCTGGTCCTGTGTTCTGCGTGTCTTAACCCCGTCCTCTATGGCTGGCTCAACGACAACTTCCGGGCCGAGTTCGTTAAGATCCTCTGCTGCACTTGTTGTGAGATTCTTCGCACCAAACTGCGTCGCGTCCTGTGTTGTTCCCGGCAGGCAGCGGGAGTGCCTGCCATCACGCTCACCAAGGTCAGCAACGGACAGTCCATCGCGCTGGACGAAGGAATGGGGAACGGGAAGTCAAACGCCCTTACTGTGCAATACCAGACACAGTTAACAGGGTAGGCCCGGGCCATTTACTAATGTTTTACACTGAAAGGAGAAGTCTATTGGTATCAGGTACGGACTGCATTTTTTGGCACTTCGATTCCTGGCAGAGCGGAACCAATGGCTTGATTCGGATTAAAAAGGGTTGTGTTTGAAGCTTTTGCTGGCACAGCAACCAATCCTGGCATCGTGTCTTACAAGAAAGAATCTGCGCCATTTTTCTTCAACCCATTGTGGAACCACACTCTCGTTCAAAGTAGAGTCCGAACTGAACCAAGTTTTAGTTTTCGAGTTACTAGCTGCTACAACGGTTATAGACAATGGGTGCAGCGAGGAGATACACTGACCTGAAGGGGTAAACAAAAGGGCTGAACAATGTGATATCAGGGGCTGTTGAAGAATGCCCTTCCCAAAAGTGTTGATTATGATATAGCTTCCCTTCTGCTTTTCGTAATGGACCATTGGCTTTGGCTCTTTGGAACTTTTCAAGTCTCTGGTGAACCTTACCCTTTCTGGCAGTGTTGTTCCGAAGTGAACAGATGTTAAGGGTTGCCGAAATGTAACTTGTCGTATTTGATAAAGGACTAAATTTATTGCACTTTCAAACTGGACTTTTGTTTTTGGCACTTTTGTCTATGCCAGAAGCTCTTTACTTTTATTCAATTCCATAGAGTGTGCTCAGACATGCTTTGTGGAAATACATCAGTTGACACTTAGAGTGCTTTAAAGTACAGGTAACTCCAAGAGACATCATACAAACTTACTGAGAGGGCATTCAGAGAGTGTATCTAGGGTCAGTGCGACGTAGTTAGCGGTTTCAACAGTAATGGCTTTGTCTGGTACGGTATGGTTTTAAAACCCTCTCTATGTAGCAAGCTTATTTAAGAGGCGGGTCCTCTACTTATCACTCATCTCCATTGAGAGCCAGCTAAGTGGGTCTAGAAAAATGAGAACTTCTCAGACAAACGCAGTCTACATTTATTAACGGAAGTGGCTCGAATCAGGTTTGCCCTTGCCATTATCATTTTCGATATCAACTGGTCTAAAGGTGTGTCTGTTTCAGGTTAGTTCCCAAATTAAGATTATTGCTGAGACAATAGACTTGAATCATAATGTCCTAGACAATGCACTGTCATTGCTGCCATTCTTTTCTCTTTTAAAAAAAAAACTTGGTTGCCTTGGTGCATACCATAAACGTAAAAATGAAAGACAAAACACAAGTCTCTATAATAATAGTGGAGTGCGAGTGAAACGTTCACGTCTTTGCCCTTCATTTGGTTCCAAATAGAGTCCAATGGTACGCTCCACAGTGAACCAGTAATACGTCAGGGGTGCCCATTTTGGGGTATTATAATACAAGTCTATGACTAAGACTAAATTGGATTCTAGCCTACAAGTTGATCTGTCTTTTCAGGCTACATAGCAAAATGTGACAACTCTGTGGTGAGTAGGCAGGTTGGGAAGTGGAGGTTTTCTCACGGAACGCTTCATCTCCGGCCTACTTTAAAATTCAATATCTGAAACTCTCGTAATTGTCTTTGTTTCATCAAAATGTATGAACCTAATGAAGAATAGCAAACCTGTATTAGAAATCGTATGTAAAAAAAAAAATGATGGCGAACTAAAGGTCAACCGTTTATCGAGTATTTTCTCGCAGATCCTAGTGATGTTAGGGTAAAAGGTTTATCAATAACAACAATACAGTGACTATGAAGCTAACCGCAGCTTCCTTTTACTTTTACGAACTCTTTTCAATTTTTGAGAGTTCGTGATTTGAGTATAATAAAATAATCTGATTAACTGTAAACAGATCCGAGAATTCAGCAAGTCAGCCTCATTTTTTTTTCCAAACCTGAATGGCTCCGGAATAAAAGAAAACTCTTCTTCTCGCGAAACAGTTTTAAGAGATTGTTTCAAACTATCCATTTTAAGGCCTTTGTACTACAGAGTTGGAGTAAATACCAATTATCATGAAACATCACTCAAACCAGATCTGGAGTGGTATTTAAAACGGCATTACGTTGAATTATGCATTGTCATTTTAGAGACCCTCATCATTTATTTTTTTCTTTTTTTCTGCCATTTACTATGCCAGCGAATTGAAATTTCATACATTTACATATATATATA